CCACTGCGGGGTGGGGAGGGAGTGAGCGAGCGGCTGTGTGGTGTTTAGCTGCCTGCCGGGTTAGACCACAACACTACCTTTTTCAGAAGACCTTTTCCTACAAGGTGTGTAGTAAGGACACTAAGCTCCAGATATCCTTGAACTTTTTAATAGCGTGGTTATGGAGTTGCATATGATTATATTGAGGACCAAATGAGATAAATGGACATCAGCAAATACACGCATTTATTTACTGAAGAAAGACTGCATAGACTGGGGTTGGCAGAAATTTTCTGGATATTTATAAGCTCTTCATTGGTGACCTTGGCTTCGCTTGTGTATGCTGTCTCAGTAAACATCTCAAATATTTAGGCTAACTCAGACACTGTGAAGCAAATGCAAAGGGTGCCTCTTGCAGGATGGATGTGGAACTGTTTCAGGACAAAGCTTTTAAGCAGTGCAATCAGAGCAAGAGATCTGGTGTTCATCCTCAACCTCATGTCTGTGGCCAAGATAAGAAAAGGTAAATGCTGGAAGCATTTAGAGAAGGAGAGGTTGGCAAATTTTCAGAGATAGTGTTGTGGATTGTCTTTTTTTTCTTCAAGTCTATGACACTGGAAATTTAATAGGAACTGGAAGATGCTGCATTTCAGAGAAGCAAGCAAATCACTGTTGAGAAGTATCTTGCCTGTGTAGACGAAGGAATGACTTCCTGAGTTTAGACTTGGGAAAGCCAGGAGCTGGAATATGCTCTATTCACAGATATCTCTCCAACTTGTTTTTTGTACCAGCTCCCAACCATATGCACTTCTTGCTGTGTTGCCTTTCGGTCACCATGTTGTAAATTGCTAAACCCTGTTTTGTAGGTTTCCTTTAACCTCTGGGATCATAGACTGATTCAGGGTGGAAGGGATAGTAGCATGTCATATAGTCCACCTTCATGCTAAAAGCAGGGTCAGCACTCAATCCAAACCATGTTGCTTGGAGCTCTGTCCCCCTCAGGTCTTGAAAGCCTCCATGGATGGAGATTCCACAACTTATCTGTTCCAATGCTTAAGTATCGTTAAGTCTCAGTTTGCTCAGTCTCCCTTTGGAGACTGTCCTTCAAATTACTCTTACATCAGCAACATGAATGTCAAGTAGTTGTAACCTGCTCATTGTCGTGACAAAATGGTGCTAAAGACTCACTCAAAATCTTTTTTTTGTGTGGTGTCAAACCTTCATCCAACTGTCAGTCTGCCGTTCATCCCAAATCTGTTTCCTGCATTGCCTGTACTGTAGTGACTCACGTTAAGACTACTTCATTAGCTGCCGTTGTAACCTAGGCTTTTAAAATGCCAAAACGTAGTTGTATTATCAAAGATGATACAAATACATCTTGCTGAATTATCGGGTGGTGGTTCTAAACATCACAGCATAATCTATCAGGGCAATTTAGCAACTACTGCATATCAGGTTCTTGCTTCTGATCCATTTTTTTAGTGCATTTTTTCATCATATTGTAAATTACAGTTCTTGGTGGTATTTCCATTGTTTTATTCTCTATTTAGTGAAATACTCAGCTATCCTGCTTCAGCTAATGGAGCAAAAGGTAGCAAAAGGTCCTTACACTGATGGATGCTGCTGTTTCACAGGTGATTAATGTGTGTTTGTACAGTATACCACCTTTCTGAATACCATTGATTCTTTTCTTCAAAATAGGGAGAGTAGCTTTAAAGCATTTTCATCAAAATATTTCTGACTTCTTTGTTATCTGAAAATTGCAACCCCTAGTAATCTGAAGATGGTGTTTTCCTCATTTAATGCAGTCAAAAGAGAGATTAAGGGACAGGTTATAACACAGACTTTTTCAAATTATTCTTCAAAAATCTTCACAAAAAACATCACTACTAGTCTAAGCTTTAAGAACCCCAGCACTTTTCTGGAATCTTAATGCTAATTACAAAGCTTAATCTGTTTTCTTTTTTTAATATTTCTGCTCTGGAAAATAGTTTTACATAAATCTTGAAATGAACATAGAGCCCCTGTTTCTGTTATCAGTAAGGCATTTTTCCAGGTTGCCGTCAGAGTCAGGACTTGAGAAGGAGCCAAACTGGTGCAGGGTCAGTTCGAATATTCCTCTGTCATGTTTCTGGGACTACAGGTGTGTCAGAGAAAATGCGCTGTAGCGAGATTGGGCATGTGAATCTTACTGACTTTGCTTTAGCACAGGCCGTGCTACTGAAATGTTTATAGCGTGTTCTCCACTCCTGTGGCCTTCAGGAAGGTGTTTTAGTATAGACATCCTGGTGGACCAAAACTGTTATACCCTCTGAGAAGTGGTAGTACTAAGCCTGCAACTGCCTGATTAGGTCTACACATGCCACCTCTTGGAAGATGCTGGACTGGGGTTTGAAAGCTTTGGTAGACCCAAGCTATTTCATCTATTTGGGCACATCTGCTGTACCATTGGTGGCATGTTCTGCAGCATTGTTATTGTCTGGGATTTTCCACTACCCAGGATACCTTCATTCTCTCGATACATAAGATAATGGAGAGTTGATTGTATTCAGCTCTTATTTACAGAGTATTTTAAGGATATTTGGGATAAGAATGTTATAGGTGAGTAATAAGTCCTTGATACTGAACTGTTGTGTGGAAGCCCAAGCAGATACAATAGAATAGATCAGGTTTATGGGTCAGTTGTTATGTATACGAGAACTAAGCAGTGTTTATGGTATAGCTGGGAAATAGTTGAAAGTGACTTGGCTTTGTTTTGTGGGTTTTTTAAAATAGAAAAGGATGCATTGCAACACAAATTTATTAATAAGTTGAACCAGAGATGGAAGGAAGATGAGGAAGGCAGGGCTTGGGGGGAGGAGAGTGACAAGGCTTTGCATTTTTTTGAAATGTCTTTTAAAATTTGCTGTCAAATGAGGAATGTGTATCTTAACTTTAGAAAGCATTTCCTTATTTTATGTATTACAAATGCAATTCCTTCATGAATAAAGTACCCTGTTTCAGTATCATAGCTCTTCATTGCAGATAGATCCTTAATATATATGGCATTTAAAGATGAATGGCAGTGAATAATTTGGATAAATACTGTGTAGGAGGTTGTTTTTCTTATTTAATTATATTGATGCAGTTGGATAATTGTTTCAAAGATCTAGGCACAAGATTTTGAATTAATGTTTACGTATTTGCCCTGAGCTGGATGAATCCTACAGGATTTTGTTATTCAGATTAACAGGTGAACATTTTATGTTATAAACTGCTTAAAGTATAAATCTGCTGAAAACCAAAGCCACCTGTCTCAAACAAGCAAACAATACACCTTCATCTTCCCATTAACCCAGATTAAATTATATCAGGCAGATAAAGGGTTTACTGGGTAAAGTGTAGAATAATTTGCTTTTGATTAATTGCTAGCAAGTAATAATAGGAAAAGGAAGGATGTCCTAACAGCCTTTTGGTTTCACAAATTACATTCTAAGCACGAACAATTCTATTGATTGCTTTCTTTGAGGCCAAGATTGTAAACAGTCACTTAATAGCATCTTTAGGGCAAACAAGTCTTATTGCATTAAGTAATAGGAGTATCACATTGTACCTTTTTTCTGTTCACTGCACAGTTTTTATTTTGCCTTTGCCTTTCATTTTACCTTGTTACAGTCCTAATTTATTGATCTATCCACATTCAGTAAAGTTGTTAAGCCTTAGTTAAATTTATGCTCTGTAGAGCTGTCATGTGATTCTAAACATGAACTGAGAATGATGCAGATTTTGGATATTTTAAATTAAGTCTAATAAAGCGACCTGGTTTGGTAGAAGGTTAGGGTGAGACGAAGTAAAATATCTGGCATGTCTCTGAACTACTGAGACATAATTTTTAATATAAACCATACCAACGATACTGCATTCTTTTCTTAATACCTGGAGTAATAAGCAGTATGCTCTGCCATGACAGGCTAGTCATTTGGATCATGGGAAGATGCAGCTTGTAGTGGTAGAGTGTCACGCTCTTCAGAAATGTTTACTGTGAAACTGGGACTGGTGGAAAGTATCTCTTTGCTGAGGCTGTTACATATTATAATGTATCATGTGTCCTCAGTATAGGTGAAATGAGTAACTAATTGAATGATGGAAGTCACATCTGACCCAGAGAAAAGGAGTACATCAGTGTACTAGATTGCATCCTCCTGGATTAATGTTGAGAGGGCTCTCTTAATCTCCTCAATTGCTTACATTCTTGGAGAAGACGACAGTGAAAGCTTAATGTTAATTTTTTTTTTTAATCCAATACAAAATGAATTCCTTTACTGTTTATGAATCAGTTAAGAAGGGTATATGGAATCATGTTTGACCTGTGGGTTTCTAAAACCAAAATATGTAATTATTAGTTTGCAGTAGGTGGTTTTACTTGATTTTTAAAAGGTAGGAATCATTTTGCTGTCATCTCTTATCTCTAGCAATATCACTTGTTCATTAAATATCTTCTGTTATAAAGCAATCTTTGACATACAGTTTTGACCAAATTAAAGTTGACTTTTTAATTTTGTTGAAGGATTAAATTTAATAATTTTTTTATTGGTTGATTGTTAGGCTAGTACACAGTTGCATCAGTTGCTAGTGAAGTCCTGGATGGTCAGTTTTAGTTGGAGTGTTAGAAGCCAAAATGAGAACAACACAATAGATTAGAGTAGTTTAGAATTGGATAGTTGGGATGATGAAAATGAGCCATAAGACTGTGAGAGGGTGTACACCGTGAGTGGAATACAAAGGGTAAATTGCATACTCATAAGGCCATTTAAGACCATGCTTCTGCCTGAAAGGGCGTTTTTGTCTTCCTGCTCTCTACTTGTGAATGTTCTTGCTCCCGCCCTTTCGTTGGTGTTAGTGTTTGTGGGGCTGTGTGGTAGGTCACGTCAGCTCACTGAGGAGCTGAAGCTAACCCCTTCACACAAAAATAAATGATCTGAAATGGGATGAGATGGAGAGACGTGTCATCTAAGTGTATTTATGGGTGCTCGTGTCATGTAAAGACTTCCATAAAATCAGTATGGGTGACAATTGGGGATTTCATAGATGAAAATCAAAGTTGGAAACAGTATGGAGCTGAATAGAATTAAAAGCTGTTTAAAGATGGAGGCAGAGACCTAGAAAACAGACTTGTGGGGTTTTTTTGAATTTTAGGCTTTAAGCCTGCAGCTCCTGCCTTTGATAGCATGTCTTAACACTGCAAGTACTGTCATATTTTGCCTAGTGTCACCCTTTTTTTGCACTTCTTAATATCTGGTGGCCACAAACAACGTAGAGAGTGTCTGGTAGGCGGTGTGTTTTCTGAAGATCCTGGAGGGGCGGCAGGAGAGTGTTGCAGTTTCACAAATAGCTCCTTCAGTGGCAGAACTGGCTGTAGCAGTCCTGTAGATGTGCTACATGGTAGATCCTTCTGAGATGGTTGTAGTGTAGCTGACAATCCTGATTTTTTATTCATATCACTTCTCCGGTGTAGTTTACCAGGTATCTCCATAAATATTTGCCCCATCACTGGGGGTCATGGAAAGACTAGCTCTGTGTGGAGGCTTCCTTCTTTTATTCATGTGTTTGGCTGCCGCTCTGGTTAATGATGAAGAAAAAAACCCAACAGGATGAAGAGTCAAACTAAGACAGTTTTAAGCTTTGTAGACTTCCTTGCTCTGTTCCTTCTTCCCACTCTCCGTTCCTGCCTTTGTCGTTGTATGTATCTGTATATGGTAAATGAGATGTACTGTACCGCATGTGTTGCCAATCATTGTCTTTTGCTTTAGCTTTTACCAGATTCGTGTATCTATGAAAATTCCTCCAAGAATTCCACACAAATTAGAAGCTAGCTTGTTACATGCAACTGGTAAGTGCAAAAACTTTTAGTAAATGAGGTCGTTATCTTGCCTTGCTAATTAAGGGAGCATGCTTTTTGTCTTACATTGTTATAACTAATATAGAAGTGTTTTAAATTTTGTTATTAACACAATAAAAATGTAAGTTGTTCCATGATGACCTGCTGAAAAACTAGCTTGCTCTTAGCAATGGGACTTAAAAGTTGATTACAGAATTTGTGTTACTGTTTTTCCTCTGTTAATTCCCTTTGCTGGTAGCAAAACGTGGTGATTCCTTTATACTGGTGTCTTCTGGTTTTGACACTGATCTGCTCAGTCTTCTCAGTCTCCTTCAGACTGAGATGAACAAGGGCAGATCTCCTCATTTAAGTAGATATCCTCAAAGTAGTGGAGAACTTCAGATACAGACTGTATATTATACAGATTGCTAAGCCCATTTTTTACCAAAAAGATGACCCTGAAAGGATCCAGTCTTGCTGTTTTCAAACTTACTCTCTTGCTGTGTGGTGGCAAAGTTGAAAATTGATTTTAGCTTCCTGTCCTGATTTCGGCTGAGATAGGGTTAAATTTCTTCCTAGTGCTGTGTTTTGGATGTAGTATGAGGAGAATGTTGATAACACACTGATGTTTTCAGTTGTTGCTAAGTGCCCTCCTAGTCCAAGGACAGCTCCCATGCCTACTGACGGAGCTAGGTACACAACATGGGAGGGAACATAATCAGGACAGCCAGCCCAGCTGGCCAATGGGGTATTCCATACCATGTGACGTCATGCTCAGTATATGAATGGTAAGCGTGATCCAGGAAGTACCGATCGCTACCTGGTTATCGGTCAGCGTGGGTGGTGAGCAATTGCGTTGTGCATCACTCATTTTGTATATTTTATCATTATTATTATTATTTTCCCTTTTCTGCTCTATTAAATTGTCTTTATCTCAACCCACGAGTTTTTCTCACTCTCACCCTTCTGATTCTCTCCCCGTCCCACTGGGGGGGCGGGGAGTGAGTGAGTGGCTGCGTGGGATTTGGCTGCCTGCCAGGTTAAACCATGACACCTCCTGAACAGAATTGCCCGCTTCCTCATCTTTTTTTCTTTTTTTTAACTGGCACTCACTTCTGGTTTCTTTGTCTAGGCAAACTGAACCTGGAGAAGCCTGTTAGTGCTCTCCTAATTCTGTGAAGCCCACACCTCAGCATGCTGTAAAAATGTGAAAAGCAAAAAATGAATTAAGTTTTCAAACGTCAGGTGGAATTCTTGGAATTGCAAGGAAGAAAAACGTACTACAGTCTGAGAAAATGTGATATGAGATTAGTGAATCTCAAACCGGAATTTTTGAGGCTACAGTGTAGATACTGAATTTTAGTCATCTTCCTGAATAGTTCTTGGATTTGTGTGAAATAAATAAATAAATAATTCTTATGAACCAAGATTACTCCCCTTCAAAGGCGAAGTTTAGTGAGGTTTAGGGAATTTAGCTCTGCTAAACTGATCCTTTAGTAAACAATATTTTTTTAATAGTGTCACATAATGATATGTTTAATATCAGTAGAAAAAAAAGTTTTTCCGTTTCATGGTATATTTTAGAATGGTCTTCAGTTATTTTTTCAGAAAGCTGCAATCTTGTTAGTAAATTGTGACATATGTGTTAGCTCCTTTGTCTCTCATTACTAGGCATAAAGGATGTAAACATTAAGACTGCAATTTGAAGTGAGTTTAGATCAGCAGTGCTGTCAAAAAAAAAAATCAGCCCATGATTCCCCCTAGCCACTCCTTCTTACCTTCATGTTGCTCTGTGCGCTGTTGACACAAGTGTCTGATTTGGCCTAGGAACTCAACTGGGGAACTCATTCAGCTGACAAGCAGCCATTTCGCAAAAAACCAAACCCCTCCAAACCCAAAAAGTGGGGTCCTTTTTAGATCAGTCTCAGTTTGGTTTATCAGGCAGTTACTGATAATGTTTGTGCCACAACGAAGCAGAGAGAAGGGTACAAGCTGATCAATGAAAGGGCGTTAGTTTGTTCTTCTTGTGGATATGATCATGCTTGGTCTTGCAGAGGACCTCTGCCTTCCATTCGTTTCAGCTGCTTTATGAATACAGCAGAGCTGGATGCTGTAGCTCTAACTCACTGCCTACTGCTCAAGGTGGTGGAATAGCTGATGCCATTTACTGAGACTGCTGTTATTTGTAGAAAATAGCTGCTATTATGCTACCTGTGGCCTAGCACTAAGAGGGTTGACCCACTATCTGAAAGTGTCTGTTACTCGTTGACCAGAGGAGGCTGGACAGGAGCCCACAACTCTCACTCTTGAGAATGATGTCCTGTGTTGGTCAGATACATACTTTTCTATCTATCCCTTGTTCTGTCTTCCTCATACTTATCCGTTCTAAATCGTATTCCCTTTGACAGCATCATGGTTTTCCCACTCGAGTCCAAGTCATTTTGCCTACTTCTGTCTCTCCCTAGCCTCTGCACAAGTCGCCTGCAGTTTCCTTACCTTGGCTGTGTGTTTTCCCCTCTCCCACACAGTTTGTTTGATCTATCTCTTCCTGTTTGATCTATCTCTTCCTGTTTGATCTATCTCTTCCTTTTATTTCCCCAAGTCAAATACACAGTCTCAGTTTTCCCTTCTTTCTGTTCCTTTGCATTTCCTTCCACCCCTTGCCCAGCCCTTCCCAGCTCTTCATGATGTCCCATGATAATTTAAATCCAGTTTTCTTCCATATCTATTTCCCACGTCCTTTAGTAGTTCACTAGAATTGCTCGGGACCCAGGACGAGTGTCATTACAGATGTGATATGGCAAGCCACTTGCTTTAGCTGCAGCCTTGTGAAGTTCTCCTGGCATTCTTGTAATTTGAAGGGAGATGTAGTCATGCTCTAGAAAGTTAAGAGAAAAACGTATGTAATTCTACCTTGTATGAGGTTGTTTCAGCTTTGAGACTATTCTGAATTCCTCCTTCTATCAGAAACTCGTGGCTGGTTTTCAGGAAAAAAAAAGAAGAAAAAAAAAAAAGGCAAGTTAGGAATGAGATGTCCATTTTTACGATGCAAGAATAAATTAATTCCCCGCTATTTTTTCCCCCTCTGTAGCTGAGATGGCTTTTTATGTAGATAGAAGCCTAGAAATAGTCTTGGCCAGTCAGTGCACAGTTGACTTAAAAAATAGTAGTTCTGCCTTGTTGACTTTGTGTTTGTGAGACCTTGCTCCCCATGTAGATGTGACTCAGCCTGTTCCTGGCATCAGCTTTTCCTCTTCCACTCCTCTTTCTCACTTCTGAGGGTGCCGTTTCACATTACACTGAAGTCAGCAGAACTGAGAGCTGTAACTCAGAGTTAACGCTGCATAGGAAGTGGGACCTCGGCCTCATGTCTCCGTTACTTCTTTTGTATCAGACTGGAGTGGGAGATCCCTTTTGCTGATGCTGTGCTGTTATATCAGATTACATGTCATGTGAAACCATACCCGCTCTGCCCTTCACTTTTAACAGATGACATGGATGGATAAGCTGAAAGTGGCATTATATATAGGGGAATTACTCTTTAATGATTCAGCCTTTGTAACCGTTTTGTCCAGGACACCTAAATTGATGATAAGTATGAAAGCACTTCAGGAAACCCCTGTATTTTTACTTGTTTCTAGTTTCTAAAGGGAAGTTGAACTAAGATGTTATGAAGATTGTAGAGTGGGAATATTTGCCAGATGCAGTGATTTTCTATCAGAGGCCTGTAGATCCCAAATCTGTAAAGTGCAAACTTCACAGATTTTTTTTTTCTTTTGTGGATTCCTTTGAAGTAATTTATTAAGAAGAATCAAAAGAATTTAAAATAATGTTTTCAACCCCCATTTGCACAATTTCTAAGACTTTGTGTTCTGGAAGAGGTTAATGTTATTGAGCCTGCTTATAGAGGAGTGATAAGAAGGTGTTGGTGTTTCTGTTACTTTTGTTCTTCCAAGTTCCATCTTCTTTTATGTGTTGTTTCACAGGATAGTGCCCGTCATGATATTTTCTGTGTGATAACCCCTTGCTATTATGCTAAATACTTCCTCAGTAACTGTTTCAAACCATTCTCTTTCTTATTTCTTCTACAAGTCTTTTAACCTTTTTTTGGCCAAGGATTCCCCAACCATTTATCACACTTTTCTGAACTCTCTTTGATGAACAGCCTCTGGACTGAAAGCAGAAGAGTCGTAAGGTTCAGGTGATACACTTGGAACTGGTCTAGCCAGAGTAGTATGCAAAGATCTGGAAGGAAAGAACAAACCACCTCTGTTCTTGATTAATGCAGTGGAGTGGTATAGGTCATTTAACCTCTTTGCCTCATCTGTGGGTAGTTAAGAGTTCTCAGTGTGGTTAAACCTTGCAAATCAACATGAATGCTGAAACATGATGAAACAAGACAGATTTTAGGATTTTTATTAGAATTTTTGATGCCTAGAATGTCTTACTCCAATTTGGAACAAAGCAAAAATTCTTCAGTCTATAACTTACATTAAAAGCAAATTACATTAAAAATGTTGATACAGTATTTCTTTGAAACAAAATGCACTCCGTCAAACTCCAGCAGTTGCTGACTGAAATGGAAACTGCTGATATTGTTGGTATTACAGTTTTAATAGTGGTCATGCAACTGATAGGAATGATAGTTCCATTTATTAGGTGCTCCAGGATTTCCAGATTCTAGGCCAATTATGTTAATACTTGTTTCTCTTTTCAGGTGCAGATCTTGCCTTTCCTGCTTCAATCCATGACAATATAGTTTGCAGTAAAACATTTCAGATTCTTTACAAAAATGAGGAAGTTTCTGTGAACGATGTGATGATTTTCAAAATAAAAATGCTGTTAGATGAGAGGAAGGTAATCTGCCACTCAACTTTACTATATTCAGATAGTTAAGTCTTTGTTATGTACAACTTGGATTAGTATAAATAAGACACCTGAAAAGATTTTATGCTTCTACAATTTCTTTTTAGATTGAGGAGTCTCTTAATGAAATGAATTTTCTGCTAACGTTAGATCTACACTTCACGGATACAGACTACTCGTAAGTTTAAATATAGAAGATTTTATTAAAGCAACAATATATGTTAACTTTTTAAACTGATTAAATCTGTATTACATATAGACATAGTGTGTTCATATTAGACATATATGAGGGTAAAAAAGAAATTGAATGCTGAGGTCTGTGAAGATTTCATAACTGGTTTCTCTCATTCGGATTTTTTTTACTTTTTTTTTCCTGGGGGAGATGTCATTGCGTTCCAAAGCATAGACCTATGTTAAATTGCTATCTGTGTCAGTTATTAATAACTTGCACTTTAAATATGATCGTTCTAATTGTATGTTGTTTTGTTTTATTTTCTTTTTAGACCAGATGACCTGAGCACACTACAGCCAATTAGTAGCCGAACTTTAAAGTTGCACTTTAATTTACACCGGGGCCTTCATCATTACGTCAATGTTATGTTTGATTACTTCCACCTTTCTGTCATATCGGTTGTAGTCCATGCTTCTTTGGTTGCTCTGCATCAGCCATTGATAAGGTAATCTCTTATTAATAAAATGCAAATAAATTATTGAGTGTCCAAATGGAAATGTTCTAAAAATAGAATACTTAGGAAGGAGTTAAATCTGTGGCCAATATAGTTTTCTTTCTGATGATTTTGGAATTCAGGGCCCAGAGGGATGAGAAACTTCTTGTTTTCAAAGTTACCTGAAATGCATAATAGTATGTAGTGTACGTGAGAGATCATACCCAAGACCAGAGAAGAGGAGGAATATATAAATGTCTGTATTAATACATGTATATTTATATGTATAAGTATTTATACATTTTCTTAATCGGGAAGATCTGCTGTTCACTCTAGTTAGTGACTGAAATAGGTACCATTAATACAAATAGGGCATCTTCTGTTAGCTATCTTCACAGTTTTCAGTTACTACTGTAATGGCAATGATGTCTGCAAATGATGCATTTACCATTTTCTAAAGTAAATGGAACTGGAGAATTTCATTTTCTCTTTAAAAAAGCTTTTGCCTAATTTTTACTGAAGCCTTTTTATTTCATTGACTTGTGTCACCCTTTGCAATCTCTGTTTACCTCGCTTCTCTATCTCAAAAGTAAGTGTGAAAGAGTGCCATACAGTCAGTCACACGTATGAAGTGTTCTTTACACAGCTTTTTCTTCAGCATACCTATCTTTGCCTTCTTTCATGGTCTTTAAATACTCCATGCAATTTCCCCCAAGTTTCTTCATATTCAAATTCAGGCTGTGCCATAAATGTCCAAACCTTTAGCTTACGGTATTCCCACTGCTTGTCCCTGTCTTCACATCATGGAAAGCTATGTCTCTATGTATGTTAGACAGCTGTTCTGTGCAGTAGGACTGTGCTGCTTTGGAGGATTCAACTGGCTTGCTTTCTTTTTTGTCTTTTTTTTCCCCTCCAAGTTGGATTGTTTTGGTGATGTGTTTTAGGCATGGTTATATAGTAACTGAACTGGCACATCTGAAGGGATGGTGCAGTATTATTTGGGAGAGGAACAAGTAGTGAGGAGGTGGGAATTATCTTAAGCTAGTATTGTTGTTAAAGACTTCATCTGATAAAATAACGCACTTAAAGTAGCAGCATGTATGTAAAGTGTAAGTTGTCACACCGTACCACAAGTGAAATTCAAGCGTTTCCCCTGTATTCATGCCGTAGCTGTAGGGTCGAACTTTGCTTCATTGTGAGAAAACGAAAAACAGGTTTTGTTACTAATTTTCAGCCAGAAATGTATTTGTCCCTGCTGACTTTATAAAGGTTGCAGAAAATCTGAGTTTTTTAATCCAATTTTTCCTCTGTTTCTGGCTTTTCAAGTGATGATACAATAATGCTATTTAATTTTAAACCTCAACTTGATATAGCTTGTGTAAGGAGATATTGAAACAAAACAGCAACTTCCATGCTGCTTCAGTTATCTTTAGAGCAAAATGTTACTGGTCCATAAAATTATTTTACGGATCCAAGTTGTCTTTTAAATCAGCTTGGGGTGGGGAGAAGAATAAACTTTCAAATTTACAGTGTTTTATTTCGGCTGGGCTATCCCATGTTGTAATACTTAGCAAATACTTTATAGTTGCCGTATCCATATCATGCTTGCTTTTCTGGAGCACCTCTTCCTGAAAAGCCTGATTGCAGACTTCACTCCCCTTTGTCCTTTGGGCTTTCCTGGGTGACGGTTTGCTCCTCTGTTCGGGTCACGCGCACATTATTGGCATCCCTTCCTTTCCTAGGGGGGTCACTTTTTGAGTGTTTTCATTTTCGGAGTGGCATCCAGGTTCTCCTTCTCTCAGGAGCAACCAGTATTAACACTTTCCTTGAAAGAGAGGAGATAATTCCACTTGGTTACAGCCCTGGAGTTCTGTACAATCTACTCTTTTTATTAACCTGTTATTGCTTGTTTCTGCCCATTATCTAAAAGTGCCCACTTTCTGCGTTCATTCATCTTTCATTAATTTTTCTTAGCTCTCTGTCCTCACAAGGCTACTGTTGTAGGATGCTCTGTTCTCCCAGGGGTTGAGGATGGCCTTTCCTCCTCAGTAGGCAGAGGTCAGGCATCCCTTAGGAAAACAGCAATGGCAGTTTGTGTGACAGCTTTCCAACTGCTTGCTACTGCTTCACTTTCAAGAGGTAAAGTCCCCACAGCAAAGTTGACAGAAAATGAATGCCTTTTACCTGTTACAGTTAAAAAGTTATCTGTATGGCTTAAACTTTCAGGAATATTGTTTAAATTAGTTAAGGTTTGCATTGGAAATAAGGAGGAAGAGCTTCCACAATCTCCTGGCACAGAATCTGCTGACCTTCATGGTGAGAGATGGCAACAGAACAGTTGAGGGTAATAATTTCTTCAATTTCTCCAGCTAGCCGAGATATGTTTTGAAGAGCACTGCTCCCCTAGTGCAGCACCAGAGACTGAGGTATCTGGGCCATCCTGAGGGGTTTTAAAAGGGCAGCCCACCAGGCTAAGAACTTCCAGATATTACTGAGAGTCCTTGTTTCTACTATTTTTCAAGAAAAACCAAGAATTTGTTTTAACTATGATAGATTTGTGACACATAGTATGTTCAAATTATCCGTTCATTTGTGCTTTTTGCAGTTTTCCTCGCCCAGTGAAGAATACATGGTTGAACAGGAATGCACCAGCGCAAAACAGGGACTCTGTGATTCCTTCTCTTGAAAGTGTGGTCTTTGGCAATAACTACACAAAACAGTTGTCAGCAGATGTAAGAATATATCAGTATAACATTTTATTTTTATTTTGTTGGGCAGTTTAATTTTATCTTTTCTGCAATAATGTTACTTAATAAAGAATGAACTTCGTTAGACTTACTGCGGTGTGCCACGTGGTATGGGAAATGAGAAAAATTGTTCCAAAAGGCTATGTTACATGCTTCAGGAGCACGCAGATGGAAAGCTTACAATATTTAGTGTTTAACCTTGTTTTTAAGATATTGCAATCCATTGAAAATCGCAAAAATATGGACGATGTTCGTGAAAAGAGGCAATTTATTTGTCTGTCTTTTTAGTTGTTGTTAACACTTCATTTACTGTACAAAATTAATATGTGCCTCATCTTTTTTCTTTTTTTTTTTTCAGGGATGCAGTTTTGTTGTTTCAGAGTCTTTCCTCAGCCATGCCTATAATTTCCACTATACGCTTTGTGCCAGTTTGCTGCTTGCTTTCAAAGGGTTACACAGCTATTTCATTATGATAACAAAGGAGGTCCCCTCTTCTCACCGAATTGAACTGGGTATGTTGAATTTAATAAAATGCATCACTTTCCTGTCGATGTTTATTAAAAATACCCCTCTTCTAGACTAAACTGGCATAAATTTCATACATCTTGTATATCTAAAATCTCTTTGCTCAAACTGAGCTGGAATTTAATAACTCAAGAAAAAAAAAAAGAAACAAGTACTGTCACGTTACTAATAAAATGAGGAGATAACAGCCTGAATTTATGCAAATATATTTTTTCTTGTTGGTCTTGATTTGCCCGGTTATTTCAAATCACTGTGTTTAGTGGTGAGAAAGTTAGAGAAACTCTTAATCCAAGTAGCATGCTGCGCTTGGTTGTTCCTTATAAAGAAACATTGTATATTTCTATAAAAATTGGAACTCTGTAAGCTTTGATTTGGGAAGAATATTATAATGGAAACTTATCTGAAAAAAGGCCTACAAGAAGAAATTGCTGCTGACTTAATTTGTAGTGTAACTTTTTAAGCAGACTTAGTCACCTAAGACTTAGGAAGAGATCTGAATAGACAAGAACTGTTTCTATAAAGCTGAGTAGTTAAAATATGCTTTTAGAGAAGCTATTTCTTTAATAAAGTTAAAATTAAACTCTTACAGGACAGTCTTATAGAAAGAAATTTAAGTTCTATGGCAATGAAGACTTCTAGTAACTACATTTGATAAAAGTAACTGAAAATATTACATGAAGTGTAATGTATGGAAGTGTACGTTACATTTCTGTAGAATGCAGGTATATTAGAGAGCCTAGCCTGAACTTGTGAACTAGAAAAGCAGTGACAGTAAAAAAGGAAAATACATTGGCATTATAAAGGATGAGTTAGACTTTTTCCTCATCAAGGAGATACCTTTTTAGTCATGTAAAGTTCTATTTAAATTAAAAAAATATTCTTTCGGAATTTATATTGATTGTAGACAGCATTTATTGATTTTGTATTGTTTAATTTTTACTCATGTCAAAACTAAGCATTATGAAACAATAAAGTTGGAAGTTGAGATATGAAAACTATTTTTAAAATGTGATGTGGTCCATTAGTGATTCCAACAAAGACTGCTTCACTTGTATATTACAAAATACAAAGCTATTTTTTGAATTTTTTTTTTTTTTTTGAGGTAGGGAGTGCATTACAAATGTGTGCATAGAAAAATACCAGAAACCAAGGCTTTTTCTTTTTAGAAGCAAAAATACTGCTACAATTATGGTGCAAAGAATATTTCTATGTCAATTATCTTAATCTTGATATGGAGGGGAACACCCTGGTAAAGGAATGACTCAACTCTTGGCCTTCCTTTTAAGGACAAAATGTGGTTTTTCCCAAAGAGAATCTCTTGGCACTATTCTTGTTGTAAGGATAGACTTGGACTAAATCTTGATACTTAAATGTTTCAGATAGGACCTTCAACTCCCCTAAAACATTCCTACAAAATATATATGTAACAGAAAAAAGCCAGCCATTGAGTTGCATAGTTGGGTTGTATCTTTCAAACCTCACCGAAGTCACCGAAAACTTCTTCATAAGCTTCAGTGGAACTTGAGTTAGACCTTTTGTCATTTCTGTGGGTAATTTAGCTTACCTTTAGGAATGCAAGCTTGAACAGAAATGCTGAAAATAAATATATGAAGAGAAAATTACTACTTACATTTAACATTAATTGTACATATTCTGCTGTCGGCTTGTTTCCTGTGGGGTTTTTTTTTTGTTATTTTTTAAGTCTCTGCTAGAATTACTTTGTTTTCTTATTTGTAAATCCTTCTTTCATTTGTTTCAGTTATTTTGTATATACATTGATTGGGACAATTGATATAACAAAAAGGACTAATAATGTAAATATTAATTATGCTGCTATTACTCACCTTTGCTCATGAAAAATAACTAATGCCTACCATTAATGCTCATTTTTCTAAAATCCATCAAGAGTAAAAAAAAAAAGCTGTGTTTCTGTGATGTCTATAAAGAAATTGAAGCTCTCTGGACTTCACAAAGTACACAATTGTCATTTGCATTTATTTTTAATTTTTAAAGTAAATTAACTGTTTTATAGTGGAGATTTTATGTGTGAAGTTTAAATGGGCTTTGCTGAAGAGAATGTCAAGTCCTGTTTAAATCCCAGAATCATCACTTTTTTGTTTTAAATTAAATTATTCTCTCTTTAATTTTGTTTCTTCTGTTTGCTTTGCTATTGCTCGGTCATATATTTTTAACACAAGACAGTGATTTTGCAGAAGCATGTGCAGACAACTGTTGGACTCAATAATTGTAATTGAGCATTTAAGTATTATTGGTTTTAGGAAATAAAAAATGCTAGCTTAATGTGTATCACAAGTGATATCTAATCTAGAAACTACACTAAAATTATGTGCTTTCATGTACTGATCTAACTGGACTAATTGCTAGGCTAGCAATAAGCTTTTTTTACTAACTTTAAGGCAAATAATAAATCACAGATGAAAAAAGGAGTGTAGTAACTAGTGATGTGTGTGCAATCCCTATAACTAGCCAAGGCCAGCATGCAGGTCCTTTATGAACGCCTTCTCAGAAGAAAATATCCACGAACCCAGAGAGACGCCTACCTAGGTATGTTTCCGAAGCAGGTGATATAACCCCTCAGATTTTTATTAATAATATAAATTATTATATTCTTATTAATAATACA